AACAAAATCTCTAGTTTGCAAGTTCATAAAAAGAGAAATCATTTGTAAATATGAACTTTAAAAAAAATTATTTTAGATAATGTCAAGAATTTGAATAGTAAAATGATGAAGGAAATATATGCCAAGTACAAAATCAAATATCATAATTTGACATCATATTGCCTAAAGATGAATGAGGCAATTGAAGCGACAAACAAAAATATAAAAAAAATTCTTGAATAGATGATCGAAACCTATAAAGACTGGTATTAAAAGTTACCATTTACTCTACATGCTTATCGGACATCAATGCATACCTCTATTAGGGCAACACCATTTTTTTTTATTTATGGGATAGAAATTGTATTACCGATGAAAGTGAAAATCCTATCCTTAAAAGTCTTAAAGGAAATTGGATTAGAAGAGGTTGAATGGATTCGTGAGCATTATGAACAGTTAAATTTCATTAAAGAAAAGTGATTGACAGTGCTATATCATGATCAATTATATTAGAGAAGAATGATGAGAACTCATGATAAAAAGGTCTAACTACGTTGTTTTTTATAAAGAGAGTTAATTTTGAAAAGAATTCTCCCAAGCCAGTACGATAATAGAAGAAAGTGAACTTCGAATTGAGAAATGTCATATGTTATGAAAAAAGCTTTTTCAAGCAAAGCATTAATATTAGTAGAGATGGATGGAGATAATTTGTCTAATCCTATAAATTCTGATGCTGTAAAAAATACTATACTTAAAAAAAGAGAAATAAAAAGAATGAATGAAAAAGGATGACTTAAATAAAAAAACTCAAAAAGGCGATTTGAGTAAAAAAAAAGGTTCATCTAAGTTGAAAACCTAAAAAGATGACTTAGATAAGGAGGATACAGCATCAAATTTAGAAATTCATCAACATGGAGGTTAGCATTTTCTGATGAGTTGTAAAGTTGTTAGGTGTATCAGGTGGTTAAACTTTCAAAAGTCTTCAAAATGTGTTATCATGATTATTTGATTGTTTATTTTTGGCGTTGTTACCCTATAACCATTTTTGTAACCATTCTTCTTTATTAATGGCCAAAGTTGTTCTACCATAAGAAATATTTCATTTCATTCCTTGTGTCTCTCTTTGATGACTATTTTCCATTTATTCCTAATCATCTCTTGGCTTTTCCCTTTAATATCTTGCAATGGAACAAATGTGTAATTGTATTTTTACTTTTTGAAATTGAAATAATGATTGATAAATGAATAATAGCATTAAATATTTTTATATTTTCTAGGAAAGGTTGAGAGTGATAAAGGCAAATATGAAGTGTTCAGTTCTTGGTAAAGACAATGAATTTGGAGAAGAAAAATTACTTTAAAAGAAAAATATAGGTGTTAAAATTGAATAAGAGAGATGATTGAGAATCAGATCATTTGGTTTTAATACTTGAAGATTGAAGAGTTTGAAATCCAAAGAAAAAAGGCTTGAAAACCTGTATACTACAATTGAAAAGATATTAATTGATATTTGCATATCATGCATTACATTTAGGAATGTGTAGTGCATGAATCTAGAAAATAAGGATATTACAATATCTCATATGGAGAAAATAAATATGAAGACTTTTCAGTGAAGGAATTTTAAATTCTCATTTGAAAAGAAACCTATAAGGTAAAATTGTAATCATTGAAAAATGATATTTCAAGAAAATTAATAATTGACAAGAAAGATTTTTTAAAATTTTAAAGTTGTGAAGCCTTTATTCAAAAGAGCATTTTTTAATATTAAAAATGATTTGTAAGACCTCTAGGCATAATCTTCTAAAATTTTTTCAAACACGATCTATAAGACCTCTATGGGCATGATTGTTAAAAAGTTTTTTATATTACTTTTAAAAGGTCATTGAGCTTCTGCTTAGAGGAGCCTTATTTATTTTTAAAAGTCATTACGCCTCTATTTAAAGGAAATGAGCCTTATTTATTTTTCAAAAGTCATTGCACCTTTGTTTAAAAGAGCCTTACTTATTTTTAAAAGTTGTTGAGCCTCTGTTTAAATAAATATTTTTTATTTTTTAAAAGTCGTTGAGCCTCTATTTAGAGAAGCTATATTTATTTTTTGAAAGTTTTTTAGCTCTGTTGAGAGGAGCTTTTATATTTTTCAAAATGTTAAACCTATGTTTAGAGGGTTTTTTATGTTATTCAAAAAGTCTGAGTATCCATTTTAAAAGAGTTTCAAAAAAAAAAAAGAATGAGTATGTCAAGTTTATTATCTAGATATGAGGGCTGTCTACGTCTTTGTACAATTCTTGTTTCATAGAAAGTATGAAAAGAGAGGCAACTGTAGACACCTTAATTTATTTAGGGTTGTAATTATTTTTTGTTAAAAAAATAAAAATTAAAAAAATTAGGAAAAGTTTGAGGTGGTTGAATTGGTGTAGAATTATTTCTTTGGGATTATAAAATTTAGGTTAAAATCAAAGTTAAAGTTAGAATTGAAGTGAAATTAAAAGCCTTTCTAATTTATGGTTTTCATAATTTAAACCCTATAAATATGAACCTAGATTCAATAGAAAATGGACAAAAAAATAGCAAAGATATATACAACAAAAAAGCAAATAGAAAGAGTTAAAAAAAACAAAAAAATTTAAGAATTTTTTTTTATTTTATTTTCTGATCTTTTGGGTTTAGATAATTAGAATTTTCTTTTAAAAGTTCTATGCTAGAGAAAAGAATTAAGAAGAAACACAAAAGGGAAATATTCAACAAAAAGTTTTGATAGCAAAATTTTCAAGGATTTCAAAGAAACAAGAAAGAAGATAAGGTAATTTCTATTTTTTTTCCTTTTTTATTTGTATGTTTATTTATGTTATTTAGTTGTTTCTCTTTCTTCTTTATTTAAAATAAATTTTTTATATAAATTTTCAACCTTTCTAACATACTGAAGATTCAATTTTTTTAAATAAATATTTAAATAAAAAGCCTTGCCAACATATTGAAAGACAATTTGATTTTTAAAATAAAATTTTACCAATATATTAAAGAAGCTTATTAATTTTTTAATGAAAAAACAAATTTCAAGAAAAAATAGTTGTCAATAAAGGATTACCAACATATTGGAAGGTAATTTAATTTTTAAGATAAGATTTTACCAACATATTGAAAAACCTTATGATTTTTAAATAAACATTAAATTTTAGAAAAAATATAATTGCTATAAAATCCTATTAACATATTGGATGATAATTTCTAGTAGAAAATCCTACCAACATATTGGAGGATATTTATGAAAATAAAGAGGTTTTTATCCATAAAAATTAGATTTTACAAAAATTAAATGAATCCGATGATAAAGCCTTTTTAAAGTATGACAAATAGTCTTCTTGAATACTCTTGAGGTGATGGGATGTTCTGGAATTATTACCAATTTATTGAAGTAATTTAGGAATAATTTTCATATTAAATTATTTGATAAGTTTTCTAGGCTTTGGATAACATAAAATTAAACTAGCATCATCTTTTGGGTGGGTGATATGAGGGTGCTATAACATTCTCCACACGTAACCATACTCCAAACATAATTTTTGTTTTGTAAAAATGAATTAATTAGGTGATCAATCATACTTTAATAAAAGATTGATAATGACTTCTTCGATTGTATCTAATTATAAATTAAAAGGTCTATATGTTATAACAAAAATTTTCCTAAAAAGTGGATTTTTTAGGCACTATTAAAAATAATTTCACCTTTTTTATGAAGACATGCAATAATTATCTTAAACTCATCTTCATCAAATCAATTTTCGTTAAATCAATTAACTTACCTTTAACTATGATTAAGAATGAAAACAAATCTGTGACCAAAAAAATCACATAATTATAAAAGAATCTGTGACATCTAGCAAAAAATTAATCTTAAAAATAACCAAAAAAGCAATTAGCAAAAAAAAAAAAAAGGGTAAATTGAAGAGACAAGCGACCGTAATTTTTTTTTCTGTGAATTTAAAGCTCTCGAGAAGGTTCTACAGACTTGTGGCGTGCAAAAGCTTTGAAGACTAGAATGGTGAATTGCAATGGGGAAAAAGGAGAATAAAAAGGAAAGCTATTATTTCAATTATATTACTCCTAACATGAAGTGCCAACATTTTTTTGTGTTCAACCCTGGAAAATTTTAGGAGCTTTGTATTTTTTGTTTATCACCATAAACCATGTTTAATAATACATTTTGGTTTATTTCCATTTTTTAAGATATAATCATTGCATGCATATAAAAAAATAAGGTGATATTATTTTAGTGGGGCCTACAAAAATTATTTTTTAATTAGATGATCATAATATCATTAATCTCGAACAAATATCCAACCAGTTTTCTGTCTTCGCTTCTTTCTCCTATGCTTCACATAAATGACGTATACATGCCTTTACGGAGTGTTGACTTGTGTTGTAACACGTTCACATACCCTTTGAGTCCTAAGTTCTTCTGGTGGGCCCGACAAAAACTTTATGAACCTAACAAGCAATAAATTTTAACCAGAGATTGAAGGGTATGACAATTGATTTTAGAGGGTATTATCAACTTTTATTTGTGTTTGTTTTCAAATCATTTGATTCACTGCACTAATCTTGTGCAAAATGTCACCGGTTGAGTAATAAGCATTAGTATTTGGTAGCTGCTAATTGGTAATTACTTTGAGGTCTTCCACGATAACGTGTTAATTGTAGCTCTGTTTCTTTATCAATTTGCATGGGTTGAATATTACTTTGCATAACAAACACATGGTGTGGCAACAAAACTTAATGGATCAGCCTGAAAAGTTACATCAAATTGTAATTCAAAGCCTGACAAATCATTGGTCAAACAACAGTAAGGTAATTAAATGAATAGTATTAAATAAACATATTCCCTCGTTTGCCCTCTCTCTCTCTCTCTCTCTCTCTCTCTCTCTCTCTCTCTATATATATATATATATATATATTGCTCAAACTTATCCAGTTGAATTTACACAGCTTTCGAGTATTTTTATAAAGCTATTTTTTTTTTCATTTTTAAGAATAAAAATTGAAATGACGCAATATTTTGACTGATTTTTCGAGTTTCAACTGGTCTTTTGTTTGCTTAGTTTTGATGGAGTAGTTTCTATTCAGTATTCTCTCTAGCTACTCAACACCTTCCCGTCCAGTAAACTCAGTATCAGCATTATGGAAAAATTAAAATAAATACTACTAAAAAGAACAACTCAGTCACGCCAGAGACTGAATTCCACAGAATCCTCTACATCATCCCAATAGTACCCTTTTTGCATAGCTGGTGGCGTTAGTATCAACCCTTCTGCCATACTGTCAAGTATCCCTGGCATGTTAAACACCTCTTCTTCATCCATAAACAACATCTTTGAACTCTCTTCAACATTCTCTGAGTCCCGCAAGCATGGCAATGGCAGCGGAGACGATGAGAATGAAGGTGAAATAGATGATGTTTTGGCATCAGCATCACCAAAAGCCTCCGCTGCCTCCATAGCAGCAGACTGAACATCCCTTATGGAGGACGACCTAGCACGTGGTAATGTATTAGCAGACTCGGGAAAGTTTAAGGAAGCAGAATCTCCCTTGAGTGCCAAGGCCGCTGCATCATAAGCCCTAGCAGCCATGCCTGGACTCGAGAATGTTCCAAGCCAGATTCGGGACTTCTTGTTAGGCTCTCGAAGCTCGCTGACCCACTTGCCATTCCTTCTCCTAACGCCTTTGTATACGGGGTGCCGAGTCTCTTGAAACTTCTTCCTTCCAGCTTTTCGCTTTTGGGATTGTGCTTCAACTTGCCCTGATGAGCCGCCGAGTTCAGGCTGTGACGATGACCATGGACTTTTGTGGCTTTTTGAGCTTGAAACAGATTGCTGATCTTCCCTCTGTTTCATTTATGGAGCCTGGGAGAGAGAGAGAGAGAGAGATGCTTCAATAAAAGAAAAAAAAAAGAGTTTAACTGTATTTTTCTTTCTTTTTTTTTTTTTTCTTTGTCTAGGTTGGTAGTGTATATGCTTTATAATTATTGAAGGAGAAAACGGCGACCGAACGAGGTTTAAATACATGCCAAACAAGAATGATTAAATAGGACGTTTCAAAAAAAGAATTTGAGAATAGGTGTGCATGAGTATCACGTTCCATTGTTAATTTTGTAGTCGGTCTTTTTCACACTCTCCACGTGGTGCTGGGAAAAATCCCAATATGATTCACGTGGCCAAAAGTACTCCCAATTCCAAAGATATTTCTTGATGTGACATCACTGGTTGACTTGCATTTTTACTTGCTCTTCCTACTTCAACGACCCTCTAACACTTCTAGATTAATGCTATTTTTATAAAACTTTTAAAGTGTCACTCAAAATTGACCTCAAAAACAAGTATATATATATATATATATATATTTATACATATGAAAAATTATTTGGTGCCAGTTTTTTAATTTTACAAATGAAATTAATATGGTTTTATTTATTTTTTTAATTTTTTTAAAAATATTTTAATGGATATATATCACTATATTAACTTTATTTATAAATTAAAAAATTACATTCACATTGTATTTAATAATTTCTCTATGAATAAACATAAATATAGAAATTTAACTTCATAAATCTTGCAAATTTTTATTATAATTCATAAAAATTTTCATTTAAACTTCTAATATAAGAATAAATAAATGCTTTGAAAATTTTTGTTATCAAGTAAAAAAAAAAATCACTTATTAGGTCTTAAAAAAAATCAAATTATCACTCAAGGCGTGTTTTTAAGCAAATCCCATTGAATAATTAAGTAAAAGACAGTAATGCAGTAAATCTTTGACAGATGACGGATCAAATTAAATCCCTAACTTCTAAAAAAATGTTGTATAATAAATATATATATATATATATATATTCTCTCAAAAAAATTTTAGCTCTATTTTATTGGAGGAAATGAGGTCTCTTTATATATAGAATGGAAGAGGTTTGCTTCCAACGTACGAGGCCATACTATTTACACTAAAGGGAGATAAGATTCTCATTTCATATAAGGGAAGTACACTGAAAATAAATTATTTTTTGTGATTTTTGGTACACTGAAATCACAATAGATACACTCACATTATTTAAAAAAAAAGTTTATCTTTTTATATTTCCTTGAAAATATAAATCGGTTATATTAATCAGTGTTGTATAATATGTACATGCTTTAACCATATGCTTTAAAATCAATTTTAATAAATTTGTATGCTTTTAAGTGTTGATTGTGTTGCCTTGATCAATTTTAATATCAAAATCATGTTTGTGCTAAGATTATATCAATATGATAGACATAAAAACTAAATTTAAAAGAATAAAAATTAAAAAAAAAAAAAGAGTACATGCTAGTACACGCAATGCCTATATGCAGCATTCTAAAACGAAAATTTTCATATCCTTCATAACTAATTAACTGAAACATATATACGTACATATATATATATATATATTCATTTGACACGGGGAAACACAAAATTTTCTTGAAAAATTTGGATATCTTTTTCAAAAACCAACTAAAGGGCGGTTAATAGTTTCAATTTTGAGAAGAAAAAAGTACCGTCAAACATTCAGACTTTATTACTCTAAATTTACCCGCATATAATGAAGCTGATGGCTGCATGTCGGTGGACAAAACTTTTGACTTTATATGTAATTGAAGAGAAAAAAAAAAGGCTCGGACCGATGTGTCTTTGTCTTCGCCGTTTCAAGTGGCTCAAAACTATTGCTTCTCGAGGAAGTTAAACCCGTATGAAAAGCAGGTTTTGGTTCGGTTCGGAATGGCCGAAGACAAATTCTTGTTAGGTCACTGATAAAAGACAGTTCTTTCAGAAGGTGTCTAAACCACAACTATTAAAGCATGGAAAAAGTTGTTGTCACAATAAGATAAGCGAATCTGTCGCAAAAGAGTTGCAGAAAAGTACCCCTAACCAGAAAGGAAAAAACCTATGGCACTGAAAAGTAATGAAATAAAAAGTAGACCGAGAATAAAGAGCATCCGTAACACACGAGTTTAATGCATTTAGCTAGGTTTGTAACAAAGAAATAATGCAATTGAATAGACACGATCTCTGCAAATCTAACGCATAAATTCACTGAATTGAAGCTGTGAATACACTTACGGCAAAAGAAATTAAGATTCGAGAAACATGGAAATTGCCCAAGATCAATTATTAAATATTTATATATGTTTGGCGAAAGTCACGACAGTAAATCCTCTACAGGGTTAAAAAAAAAGGAAGTTTTGAAATAGTTTGAGTTTCTAACCTCTTCAGACTGTATAGCATGCATTTTCCTATTAAAAAAAATATGATGCTAATCAAAATTTGTTGATGTCTCAACATTCGCACGTTCTCTATCAAATTACCAATAAAAGAACCATTTTGGTGGTCGAAGCTCATCCTGTTAATTATCCCCAATGCATCACCCTCCAGAATGATATATTGGAAACCTAGTTCTTGCGCAACCTCCATAGCCTTTAAGCCGCCCGGCATTGACCCTTATAGATAACTCTGCGAAAAAATACAAAAAATGGTGATAAGGGCATCTAAAAGATAAAGCCACGTGGTTGTGATTAGGGTATCTAAATGATAAAGCCACGTGGTTGGATTTTTTTTCTTAAAGAGAACCAAGTAACACGTGGATTTCAACATTAAATAATAAATATAATGCTACTTGTATTTACATTTGTGTGTTGTCTAGATATAAATGTTATATATTATTAGTAAATTATGATATTTTATAAAAAAAATTAATTTTAAATATATTTATTTTTAAAATTTTAAAATTAGTATTTTTTTTGTGTGAAATATCATTGATGATTCAATGATAATATATAATATTTATACACTAATAATACATTATAATATTTTTCCTCCTAGAGCTTATACTCAATTTTATTTTTATTTTTCTATTCAACAAGTACATGTGTATGGACATGAATTGAATGAAAATCACAGAGCAATCATATCGTACTATGTAAAATTTTCAAATGAGTTGAACAAATTATATGAAGCAAAGCTTAATTTCTCCCCCCGTTTTTTTTTATTTCGTTTTTCATTTGGAAATAAGAAATTACTAATGTTTGTTGGCAACATTATGTGGCCCAAAAGACTATTTTTGTGGACTACATTCAACCTATTCGAACCTGCTGCCTAAATTGAAAAGGAAGGCATCGAAAGAGACCAATGATTTCACTATTTAATTTTTTATAATTTTTTATAAGGAGAGAGAAAGTCCATTTAATTTGAGCCGACATTTAGAAACATCATATACATGCATACTCAATTCAGCCACGTCGTCGACCTTGCCAAGGAGTTGATCACAAGGTCAAATAAAGGAAAAATAATAATAAAAAAAGTCATTTAATTGCATTTTAAAAAAATAAAACTTATTTGTTGTTGAAAACTTGAACTACCCCATTGCATCAATTTCTTAGTTTTCACTATTTTTTATAAATAATATAACAACAGTTATAAGTATAATTTAGAAAGGAATGTCACAACAATTAAAACTTATTATTTCATTTTTTAAATTTTATGTTTGAAGCCTAATATAAATAATATTTAAATTTTATTAAATAGAAGAGAATTGTGTCGTTGAACAAGGAATTATATTTGATTTAACGTTAATTTGTAAATGTTATATGTACATCATATAAGTCATTTTATTAATTTATTTTTATATAATTAAATATTTATTTTTAAGATTTCAAAATTTTAAATTTACTAATAAAAATATAGTAATAATATATAACAATTATAAATTAATAGTGCATCAATTAACCCTTTTAAAAAAATCGTTCAACTTGGAAAAACAAGCATATCGATGTAATTATAATATCAACCTTTTAGTTCTTTTAAAGGGCCCCCTTAAGTGGCCCTCTTCCACTGTTTTCAAGCCCAATACAGGGCTACTTTCCATACATTTCTCAGCAATGGGTCAAGCTACCAGATTAGGCCTAGGTTTTCATGTCCAGTCGCGGAAAACCTTTTTCTTTTTTTTTTTTGGGGGGGGGGGGGGGGGGGGGTGGGTGTGGGGAGCAGAAGAGACTAGACATGAACCATATGAAATTTACGTTGTGAATAAGCCAAGACATAACCATATGAAGTGTTGGAGGGGGCCCTAAGCCTTCATTTAGAGGGCGCCCCATTAGGCTGAAAGTATTCATCAGATTGAAGTGATAGGGCTTGTATTTATTTAACAATAGTTATTACACTCTGAATGAATTATGAATCGTTTTATTCATTTTAGTTGAAATTTCTTTGCCCATGCTTTGGATCTTTCTCCAAAATTATTTATCAGTCTTTTCCATTTTCAAGGCACAAGTGACAATTGGCACATTTACTTATATCCATGCACTGCTAATTTATAATTCATAAATCATTTTATATTAGGTTAATATGTAATTTATCTCTTGAATTATGCAAATTTATCAGGTTGATACTTAAAAAATAAAAATTCAGAATTAAATATTTGAATTTGTATTCCAGCAATTTATACCAATAAACTGATTCCATTAAAATATTATTGGCTTTATTAACCAATGACAATCTACAATGGTATCAAGAGGAATATCAAAAAAATTTGATAAATTATCATGTCAAATCAGTTTACACATGAATGCCACACTATTTGTGGGTTTCATCGCCAAGCTAAAAATTTTGAGAAATAAAAAAAAAAATTTTTGTTTTTTAATTTTTAAAATAAAATATATATAAAAAAAAAAAACTTGAATTTTGAATTTTGAAAATTAGAAAATAAAAAATTGGAAAGTTCCCAACATTACTCAATAGTTCAACTAATTATGTTTCTTACATCTTATCTCCTTGGAAGAAAGTCCTAAAAAAAAAAAAAAGTAAACAACAAACAACAAGACCAAATGAAAGAAAATAATGCTCCAATAATCATAATAATAAAATCTCGTTTTACAAGCTGAAACACCGGACAAAATTTCCTCGGAGGCCATCCTCAGACAGAATTTCCAATAGCTCCAAGTTCACACCCTTCCTTTTGTAGGGCCCTTACAAAAAAAAAAAAGATTCTTCCAAATAGCCAAAATATAGTCTATGTAATAACACTGTGTTTAGATGGATTGTCAAATCAATGGCAAATTATGCTTTCTATTACCTGCACAGCAATGCGACTTCTAACAGTGTCCCTTATATTGTCGTTCATAAGAAAGAAACAAATTATGCTCCAAGACCAAAGATCGAAGATGTGTAAGGAATAATGTTCCCTGTTTTGTACTTGGAAATGATTGAAAAGAAGCGAAAATATCAATAAAGCCAAGGTCCCCCTAAGCCATATTCCTTTCTTCAATGTTGCTATTCATTTCAGTAAAAAGCAGCCGGAACCAGAAGCTTTGCCTACCCTAAATGTTTGATCAAACCTGATCACTAATTGCTGAGAGGATTCAGATAAGTTAACAAGCAGACATGCTCTGCATATGTAACAGTTGCCAAGGTAATTCAGACATCTGAAATCTGCTCATGCTACTATGCTAGTAAAATTTTGTCTGGAACATCTAAAAATTTGAAACAAGGGGAACAGAACAATGTTGATGTAGAAAATTTATTGTACATATTATTGTCTCATAAAAGCCAGGATCCATACATCATTACACCCACTAAATACATGATTGCATATACATAACCCTGCTATTCTAACCCACATCCTTCTTTCCCGCTTTCTCCATGCATCTTTCTAATTATCTTATCACTTCAGAGCAGTCAGACGGTACTCCTCTAATTAATAATATATGATTTTGAAAAAGGAAATGAAAGAAAGTGGAACCAAAATTCATTTTTAAACACCACCTTAGCTTCAAAATTTTTCCCCAGTTAAACAAACTAGTTCTTCTGACAATTCTTCCATCAGTAATCCAAAGATGGCATATTCAACTTCTAATGCTGTCTCTCTAATCTGCTCTTGATTTCTCTTCCAACCATCAATCTCTCTTCTGAAATCTTGTTCCACCATCATGTCAATGGTGTTTGATTCTACTTCCTTCCATGAATCCAGCCTTTGGCAAACTCTTTTAGCCACCTCTTCTCTGTCGATGTAGCAGTTCTGCTCCGTCTCTTCCTCGGCAATGAGATCTGATACTAGCCCTTTCATTCCTTCTGGGATATGTCTTGGATTGTGGAAACTTGATTTAAGCAGTTTGTCGAGAAAGCCATCAACGTTCATTTTACCATCCGATGCAGCTGAGTCGTGCTGGAATTCCTTTTCTTCCACTATGTCACAATTACCATTCTCATCATTATCATCATCTTGCTCTTGTTCTAACATTCTTTTCTCCAGTTCAATTGGATCCAGTTGGGCCAGTTTCTCAAATCTACTAAGTTTCTGCAGTAGCTGCTGCTTAGCTCCTGGTGATAAGACAAGGAAAACCAAAAAGGACATCAATACAGATCATACTATATAATTAAGATAAGCTTCAAATACAAAATCAACAGTTATTAATGTTTTAGAGCTTAAACAAGGAAAGGATTTGAAATTCAATGGATTCCACCAGAATGAGGAATGCTGACAATATTTAAAAAGAACCAAGATAAATCCAGAGAGGAATAGAAAGAAAGGAACTAAACAAGGGTATGATGATTGCCATATTTGTGAATCCAAGTGAACTGTGAGAAAAAAGCTGGGCCTTCCACCATTGACAACGAGTAACCAAACTCTTCTAGTTTTATGCCTATATTAGCATCTGAATTCAATTCAACCAGCCCAAGCCTTTAAGTTTGAAAGTTCTAGAGATTGAAGTATGTGGAATACTTCCTCCTACTTCTAAAAGGGATGGTTTAAACGCCTTTTGCCTCAATTATTTCAGCTCCTTTGCTCTCGAGGGAGAGACCATTAGTGAGGCAATTGGCCTAAAATTAACTTGTCTTTGCCAAAATTTTAAGCTTTCCAACAGAAGAAACAAATGTCTTGAATCGTCAAAAGCATGAAGTTTTCAAAATAAACCCTGAAAATTTTCAAGTAAATTTTAGTAGATGATTACATGGTCCAACAAATTGAAGTGTAAATGAGTACCAGCACAATTAAGACAGATCTCCTAACTTTGAAATGTGGGTCACACATGAAGTTATCACAAAAATTTGTGTCTGCTTCATCAACAGTTCTCTTTAGCCTAACTTGATGTACAAACTAAAATCTAAATGGCAACAGAATTTCCACGGATCCCACATATATCATCAATTTGAAATGTTTCTGTTTAGTTATCAATTAAACTATGCATCGGCTAACAAGTTTAAACAAATGCATGAATATGGAATAACAGCTAAGTTGACTGATAATGACCTCACTAACCAGAAGGAATGGTACAAAAATTATTTGAAGTGATTCAAAAACGTACTTTGTACATTTGCATAGCTGCATTCAAGATCGAAACCATTGTTCTCATCATCATCATCATCCATACGTCTATCATCATCGTCCTCGAATGGAGGGTCCAAAACAGAAACGGGACTGCATTGTTCTTTTTCTTCTTCCTCTTCTTCTACTTGCAATTTTTTTAAGCTATCTTCTTCATAATTTTCCATGTCCTGCTACAATCCAATACAACAAGTCAACAACCCTTAATTAAGAATTAGAATGAGAGTTTAGCTAAAAATTACAATGTATTACAACGACTCTTCAGATAACATTTTTCAATATAGCAACAGCTAAAAATTCCATAATTTTATTGGTGAAGAATTAGAATGAGAGTTGTTACAGATATAATTGATAATTGATTGGATTGTTAACTTTCTTATCAAATTTTGTTAGGAAAAAAATGTTGTTGAATATAGTAATTTAACAGTTGTCTGATTTTGGTGATGGGATCCAACAGATAAAAACAAAAATCGATTTGCCCTTTTGGGAAATTACTTACAGGACAGACTCTTAATATAAAAGATTTGCATGGCAGAGGCATGATCAAAGTACACTTAACAAATGATACAAGAAAATGTTCATGATGGATTACTAAATGACATATATATCCCTGAAAACCAATCGAACAAACAGATACCTTCGAACAAAAAAAAGCCAAGACTAACAGGGCATATTTGCCTATTCAGTATAAATTCTGGCCAAATTTGCAGCATGATATTATATGTACCGACAGTTAACATGTCAGAACTCAGTCACCTGAGTCACGAGTATACTCAAATACTACCAAATGACAAAGCTTTGAACAGACCAGAGTTGCAGTTTTAATTAACAAATTGATTACCTGTAATCTTTCAGTTAAATGTACTAACCTCTTTTTCGTGGCGACTTGGGGATATAGCTGGGGAAGAGAATAGGGGAGTCCGATGACCAAAAGAAGGGCTTCGTTGAAGCACAAAATGAAAGGGGCTTTCACAAAAGTGCTTAACACAGGAAGCAAAAGCTAAGTTATTTTCTAAAACTTCCATGGACATGTATATCTCTTCAAAATCCTCTGATCGGCTACAGCTACAGGAAGTATCCAAATCCATATCCATGGATTTTTCTTCATTGCTTTCTGACCAAACAGCGCTGCTTGACCTACCATTATAAGAACAAGAATGCCCCATTTCACAACCACTTTTCTCTTCCATTGCTGAAGACATTTTCCTTTGACTTAGACCGTTTTTCCCCACGGTTGAATCCCACCTTAAAATGTCCTTGACTGAAACTTTTGCTCCATCTTTAGCTATTTCACGCTTCCGGTTTCTGTTACGTTGAGTTAGCCTGTTTAGAATGGAACCAAATAAGCCAAAAGTACTGCCATTGTTTTTCCTCTGGGGTTTGGTTTTTGGTGAAGATTGTTTTTGAATCCTGAGAGCAGCTTCAAGAAGAAGAGCAGCTGTTCTTGCTGGGATGTGAAGAAATATGGCATTGGGGCTTTTGCAAGGGCTTTTAGCTGGGGATGGAAATTCAAACAATGGAGACTTTCTCGGGTCTGGTGAGTCATGAAACGAGAAAAAGCAAGCATTTTTGCAGAAGTTTGAAGGAAAGTTCGAGTTTTGAGAGATGGGTTTCCCTTTCTTGATTTGAAGATGAGTTTTAGGTGATGGTTTCTTGAGTTGACAACGCCTGTCAGCAATGTACTTCTTCAGAAGAAATGGCTCTTGATCCTCTTGCAGTAACTCATGCAAATGCTTTTGAGCCATCATCAAAAGAGACATAAAAAAATCTAATTTCCCTTTCTCTTTCACAAAAGAAGAATTTGTAGTAATGTTAAAAAGAACAATCTCAACAAGCTATGGATTTCAGCATCATGAAAGAGTGGAAGAGGTTTACAACTTTTAACCAGAAAATGCAGTGCAAAACCAAAGGGAAGATTTTGAAGGAGAACAAGTTGGCCTACAAATATAGCTAGCTAGAGAAAAATAAATAAAGAAAGAGAGAGAAAGGAAGGAATGAGGGGAGTTCCTGATTCAAAATCTGGAGGATTTACACTATCAAGGCAAGATAGTGTTAAAAAAATTAATCTCCTAACATTTACGCTAAAACAAGAAAAACAGAAAAAGAGGAGGAAAAATAATAGAGAAAATAAATGGCTGCAAATTTTAGGCGTTTTTAGGCAGTACTTCAAGTTACATCGGGGAGGATCCGGTGTCTCCTGATATCTCTCTCCATTGTCGACATGTTTTACTTTTAAGAGAGAGACTGATAGAAGTAAAGTAAAAATTGGATTTGTTTTGTCTTAAGAGACTGCAAAAACAGTGTTTCATTGTTGGCAGTGTTAAAAGAAAAAATATACTCCATTTGTGTCATTGTCTTTTTTCTCTGTAATAACAATGACTGTTTGACTGCCAAAGGAAACAATGGGGGACGGCGTTAGTCACAGGATTTGCAGCCGCGCAGCTTGGCTAGCTGGCTAGAACCAAAAGGATCTTTCCACGTCGTTCACATCTTTCTCGAGATTTAGAGAACAAGCCATGGCCGTGGTTGGCTCGTTTTCGTCGTAGCTATTAATTGGGCTCTCTTCCTTTTGTTTACCATTGCTTAATTCTCTTTAAAAAAAAAAGCCAAACTATTACTCTATTTTTACATATCAATACAAGACAATATTGCTAGAAACATTAAGAATGGATCAAAGTTAAAAGTATTGTGTTTAACACATGATTATAAGTTAGTCCACTGAAAACCTAATCATCATTAAATTTTGTCTTAGGACAACGTAAGCCAAAAACAATTTGAACTTTACAGCTATACACTAGAGTACTTTCACATAGTGGTACAGCTTTGGGCATGGTCCTTTATTTCTTTTTCCAACCTAATTACTACCCCACAAAAAAAAGTTACCCAAATAGAGTACTTGCATTGAAATGACTTAAACTACCTTAAAATTCAACCAGCTCAACAACTGTTCCTTAAACTCATTAACTATACCATAAAACTCACCTTTGAATACTGCCACGTGGTAGAAAGGTCATTCCTTGACAGATGTCCGTCATAAAAAGCGAGTTCTTAATCTGTTCCATACCTTCGAGGCTTCTTAATTTTAGCGACAAGCGTTGACGATCTCAAAACATCGTAACGACTCGTGTATCTCACGAAAAGTTAAGAAAAGAAAAAAAGAGATTCTCGAGAGCCGAAACGGGGAGAAAACGACAAAAATGAGAAGACCGCGCGTGCCAAGTAAGGTACAGAGCTGGATCTTGACTCGATCTTTGACGCTCCTCTCCATTGCCTTTCATTTTAATTATCCTTTTTCTTTTCTTTTTGTTCTTTGCCGCTCAATAATAAATATTTATTACTATTACTTTTTCTTTTATAAATATGTACTAGTTACCACTATTTTTTTTTACCACATATGAAGATCAGTTTAGTAGATAAATTAAATAAACTATCTTAAGCGAGTTTTTACTTTTTACCACCAATAACGGCATAATGATAATTCATGCTAAATGGAGTATAACATAAAATTCATGATCACTGTAAAATAAAATATAAGGTTAATATCATAAATAATATTTAAAATATAATAAGATGTTAATGTAATAACTAAATTTTAAAATTTTTTAATATAATATTTGAATTTTAAATTTATTAATTAATTTAATATTTAAAAAATAATTTATCTATTATATATTATTATTTAAAATTAATCATATTAAAAATAAATATTACATTAATTAATTGATTAATAATTAAAAATCATAACAAAAACTTTTTATAACATTAGCCTTAAAATATATTTAATACTTAATTTAAATATGACACACCTTATTTTGAATCGAAAAGTTTAACAATTTAATTTATAAACAATTAATATTATAGTTTAAATCTTAACAAATTTTAATTAAAATTTTGAATAAATTTTATTTTGATCAAATTTCATACGTTAGGGTATAAAAATAAATTGACGTGTATTTGTTTGAACTAAAAATGGTATATTTATTAAAATGTTTATAATTAATTCTTTTTACCGTTGAGGGTACTTCGGTCGTAATCCTACATTCCTACTCGTACCCCTCACTTTTTTTTCTGAAACTTGACGGGTCCATTTCAGAAATCAACTTTAATTTAAAAGCAAAAAAATTGATTTTGATTTTTGAAGCTGGACTCTGGCTTTATCCATTGGCACTTTGAAAAGGAAAAAGAGAGTGCTTTAGGTAAGTGACGCGTGACCCACTCCATTTTTTGTTGAGCAGATTTTTATGGTTGCTTTTTGCTTTTTTTTTTTTTGTTGGCATAGCTGTGAGGAAATGACACTGAACTTTTGAAAAAGAATGAATGTTTGAGAGCCCTGGAGTCCGGCCCGCCTGCCTGCCTGCCTGCAAGATTCACGGACTCCACCAACAGTTAAACGAAGAAATGTGCAGCCATTAGTATCACTTTTTGAAGAAATTGCTTTTACGATGAAATCACTGTTTTGGGTTAAATTTAGAATACAATTTTTTTTACAATAAATTCGAAAATAATTAAATTATTCAAATTTTTATGTTAAAATAAAATATATCGTATTCGATAATTTAAAATAAATGATAATAAATCATAAATTATAAATAATTTTAACAAATGATTATTTACAATATTTAAATTCAAGATGTTTTCATCAAAAAAAAATAAGTTTTAATCAATTGAATCAACCATATTTAATGTACAAATATCATTGCTCACCCACTCACCTAATTGATATGTACCCATTAATATAACCTTAATCTATCACCTTTAAGCAACAAATTATGTATTTATAGTTAGAGATAAGGATATAAAATATATCAACATATTAGTATATATCTCATCCCATGCTCTTCATATACTAACATTTTTTTATACATGCACCAATTATTAGCTTAGGTGTTCAAACAGTTCTAAACAGTTTCATTAATGAAAAGAAATGTATTCTAATTTAATCCCCCATTGCTTCCCAAAGTTAGGAGTTATGCTTTAAAAGGTTATGCATGCCTTCCTATGCACGAAAAATTAAATAATAAATTAGCATAACTTCCATTCCAAATTTAAACCTTTGCTTTTAAAGAAAATAAAAACTGATTGACTTTTCCCAATCATTAAAAACAAAGTTAGGATTGTCTTCCGTTTCGTGACTTAATGGCCACAGAAACCTTTAAGAAAACATAACGGCTTGGTTTTGAATTAAGCTTCTCCTCTCCCCCCTCCCTCATTTAATAAGGCTTTGCACCTTCGAAACAAAAAAAAAAAAAAAAAAAAAAAAAAAAACAAAGTTAGGACTTGAATCTCTTTTTCTTTTTATTTTTCATTCGTAAAGCTTCACTATATGTAGTAATAGGGAAAAAAAAAAAAACTTCCCATCATAGGGCTTTCCTTTTTTAAAATTCTTTTCTTTTTCTTTCGTTAGATCAAATATTCACATATGTGGAGAAAATAAATTTTTATCCTCAAAAATACCTAGTGAAATGTGCCAATTTGCTTGCCACTCTTCCAATTTTGATGCTAATCACAACTAATATTTGTCATTGCAATTGTGATCAAATTTAACGATTGTGATTAAATGTAACTCTTTTCACAATACCAAAGTAGTTCTTAATCAAGTGCGATAATTTGGGCATGGGAGTCCTGGTGGTGAAGGAGCTAATAAAGACAAAAACATGTTAGGTAGTTCCATGAATTTTAAATTTAATGAAGCAGGTGAACAATAATTTTGGTTGATGCATCTAATAATTCATTATGAACTAAAGAGGCTTACGTTACGTGTAGCCCTTCTGGAAGCCTGATAAAAGAATAGGTTCTATCCCTATCTAAACGTTTATATTTTGGTAATTTCAGCAAACAACCGTATAAGACCTATCCGAAACATTTAATGATAAATAATTGAAAAAACAAAATTTTATAGGTAGAGTTCGTGAATTTTTTTTATTAAAAATAAGTAAATCAAAATCAATAAATTAAAAAATCTTATCACATTTATCAAACGTATATAATTTTTAAAAAAATTAATAAATTTTGATATATTTATTAAATAGATATTTTTAGTAAAATATTAATAAAAATTTTATCGTTGAATAAGTATCGATTAAATTTGAATTATAAATAATATTTTTAATAAATTTTTTTACATATTATTGATTTTTATATTAAACTTTATCATTCTATCGTTTTAAATTTTTTTTCAAAGTTTTAATTTACTTATTTTTAATAAGAAATTTTACAAACTTCACCTACGTAACTTCATGTAAATTTTATCCAATAATTGATGCATATATATATATATTAAGATTTCCAAAATAAGGATATACAGATTAGATCAACAAAGTTAAAAATACCATAATACAAAAGAAATCATAGATCTACCATTTGAAAATAAAAGAAAGAATTAAAGATACTCAAATTTGAATTTCAAATTCATTGAATATCATCTTTAAAGGTAATTATATAAATTAATTAAATTAAGTTTTAAACTCTGGTATATTTATATTGAAAAAAATATGTAAAAGGTCTCAAATAAATGTAATTAACTTATTTTCATAACCCATAAGCGAATCAGATCGACAAGTTTGTCAATTTATGAATAAAAGTACAGCATTGGATACCTGCTGCATGGGGGGTGGGGGAAATAGGGTTTATATTTATTCATTGTATCAATAACAAATTAAGAATATGCAGAACTCATCACCGAATTTGAGGAGTTAAATTCGAAATTAAAAATAATAATAATATTACATTCGCAGCCAGCCAAGAAAAATCAAACAAATGAAAGTGACTGTGATTTTTGGTTTCTTCCAAAACCAACATAAATATTATAAAACCAATCACTTCACTTTTCATGCAAAATCTTTCTATCTCAGCACTACTCAACATAGGAAGAAGAAAAAGAAAACCCAAATTGTACTAGCTTGAGCTTCCCATAGTCAGGAAAGTTTTATCACAACGTTGATATTAGGTTTTGGTGAATAATTTCTCCATTTAGCTATAAAAAAATATTTAACAAATGTGAGGTTAAAAAAATGTAATTCAATTTTTTAATAAAAGAAATAAAATACTAATATACTCTTTTTAATATATATTTAATAATAAAATTAATTATTTACATAATTTTTCCATTTGAGTTTAAGGACTCATAACATCAAACTTAACCAATAAATAATTTTTGTCACAATTAACAATAAATAAATGACAATTAGATATACTCTGTTACTAATAAATAACTTGACTCATAACATCAAACTTAAGCAATTAGCATTATTCTAGTATTATACTCTTTTTAATATGTCTAAGTTATAGAAGACAAAAA